ATTCCACAAAGGTACTCTTCTGATGAATCTGACGAAGAATTCGACCAACCTAAAATGGCTGATGTCAAACCAGGTGTACCCTTGGTTCCATTTGCTGCCAAACCAGAAGACAAAGGTGTTAAGCCTATAGAACCATTTTCAAAACCAGACGACAAACCAAAATCTCCACTTGACGCAACGAAGCCTATTCCACAAACGTACTCTTCTGATGAATCTGATGAAGAGTTCGACACACCTAAAATGACTGATGTCAAACCAGGTGTACCCTTGGTTTCATTGGCTGCCAAACCAGAAGACAATGGTGGTAAGGATGTAGAACCGACTTTGAAACCAGACGACAAACCCAAATCTCCACTAGACGTAACGATGCCTATTCCACAATCGTACTCTTCTGATGAATCTGATGAAGATTTCGAGAAACTTAAAATGGTTGATGTCAAATCAGGTGTACCCTTGGTTCCATTGGCTGCCAATCATGAAGACAATTTTGTTAAGCCTATAGAACCGATTTCAAAACCAGACGACAAACCTAAATCTCCACTTGACGTAACGAAGCCTATTCCACAAACGTACTTTTCTGATGAATCTGATGAAGAGTTCGACAAACCTAAAATGGCTGATGTCAAACCAGGTGTACCCTTGGTTCCATTTGCTGCCAAACCAGAAGACAAAGGTGTTAAGCCTATAGAACCAATTTCAAAACCAGACTACAAACCAAAATCTCCACTTGACGTAACGAAGCCTATTCCACAAACGTACTTTTCTGATGAATCTGATGAAGAGTTCGATAAACCTAAAATGGCTGATGCCAAACCAGGTGTACTCTTGGTTCCATTTGCTGCCAAACCAGAAGACAAAGGTGTTAAGCCTATACAACCGATTTCAAAACCAGACGACAAACCAAAATCTCCACTTGACGTAACGAAGCCTATTCCACAAACGTACTCTTCTGATGAATCTGATGAAGAGTTCGATAAACCTAAAATGGCTGATGTCAAACCAGGTGTACTCTTGGTTCCATTTGCTGCCAAACCAGAAGACAAAGGTGTTAAGCCTATAGAACCAATTTCAAAACCAGACGACAAACCAAAATCTCCACTTGACGCAACGAAGCCTATTCCACAAACGTTCTCTTCTGATGAATCTGATGAAGAGTTCGACAAACCTAAAATGGCTGATGTCAAACCAGGTGTAGCCTTGGTTCCATTTGCTGCCAAACATGAAGACAATTTTGTTAAGCCTATAGAACCGATTTCAAAACCAGACGACAAACCAAAATCTCCACTTGACGTAACGAAGCCTATTCCACAAACGTACTCTTCTGATGAATCTGATGACGAGTTCGATAAACCTAAAATGACTGATGTCAAACCAGGTGTACCCTTTGTCCCATTGGCTGCCAAACCAGAAGACAAAGGTGTTAAGCCTATAGAACCAATTTCAAAACCAGACGACAAACCAAAATCTCCAGTTGACGTACCGAAGCCTATTCCACAAACGTACTCTTCTGATGAATCTGATGAAGAGTTCGACAAACCTAAAATGGCTGATGTCAAACCAGGTGTACCCTTGGTTCCATTTGCTGCCAAACCAGAAGACAAAGGTGTTAAGCCTATAGAACCATTTTCAAAACCAGACGACAAACCAAAATCTCCACTTGACGCAACGAAGCCTATTCCACAAACGAACTCTTCATCAGATTCATCAGAAGAGTACGTTTGTGGAATAGGC